AAAAAAAAAAAAAGCTAAAGAGATGATTTAAAATGAAAATGGGCTGTGGCCACTGCAGTGTTTCTAAGTGGGCTGGCACAAGTCACAGTAGTGGGGATATACGTCCCATCATTACTGGGGCTGGAAGGTTGCAATGCCTAGGCCACATCCTGCCCCCTAGTGCAGTGGTTCTCAAAGTGTGGTCTCTGGACCAGCAGCACCTACAGCCTTGTTAGAAATGCACATTCTCAGGCCCCACCCCAGACCCACCGAAGCAGCCCCTCCGTGGCAGGGGCCCAGCACTGTGTGTCTGAACAAACCCTCTGGGCAATCCGCCCCCCCTCCTGGGAGACTTCAGGCAGCATCCTTCTTGCCCACAGTGTTACTTTGCTAAAGCTACTGTTACAAAGTACCATCAACTGGGTGGATTAAAACAACAGAAACTTACCCTCTCACCCTTCTACAGGCTAAAAGCCCCAAACTGGTAGGGCTGGTTCCTTCTGAGCCTGTGGGGGAGAATCTGTTCCAGCCTCTCCCCAGCTTCTGAGGGCTATCTGGCGATATTTGGGGGTTCTTGGCTTGTAAAGCATCACCCGGATCTCTGTCTCCATTTCCATGTGGCATTCTCCTGGTACGTCTCCGTCTTTACCGAGGTCTTTTCATAAGGACACCAGTCATCTTGGGTTAGGCCCACCCTAATGACCTCATTCATTTTACCTGGATTATACCTGCCAAGAACCTGCTGCCAATTGTGGTCACATACCCAGGTACTGGGACTTCATCCTATCCTTGTGGGGGAACAAAATTCAACCTATAACACCCATTTCTGAACACCCGTTTCCAGACTCTTCTGAGCCCCACCTCCACCCCTAACCTCTCCCCAGCTCTAAGCCCTCACACCCACTGTGAAAGTGAGGTTCGGCAGAAGTGGTGAGGGGGTCCTGTTTTAAACCCCTGTTAGAGTTTAGCTATCATGGTTTATTTTCCAGACCCTATCAGGATAACTCCATGCCAAGATGGAAACATCAGGGTCTCCTCACCCTCCACATGGGAGGCCAGTCCAGAGTATGCCAGGAGGCCCAGGGCAGCCCTGAAGGTCAAGGCCCTGTGATAAGGTCACCAGGTCCCATTCCCTGGGGGTGGACAAAGGGCTCCCAACCAGCAGAGGTGTGCAGGGGTTTCTGTCACTGGGTGGAGGGTTTCATGATGACTTCTAGGAATCTTAATCACTTGACATTTTAAGGGGGAAGAGCAGAGTTTCATAAATCAAGTTTGTAGATACCCAAATGTTCCTATGGCCTCTTGGCTTTCTCCAGAAAGCATGTTTTCACTGAGAATCACATTTCCTTGGGATTTTGCTGCATACCACAAGTTACCCATGGTTTGGCTTTCACTACAGTTTTCTTTCTCACTTCACCAAGTGACTGTGTACGGGACAGACACGGAGACTGAGAAGCTCATCTGGCGGGTGAGGGTTGTGGGCAGCCGGGCTCAGGGCCAGGCCTCGGCCCCCTCAGACACCCCAACCCTGTAGTGCACAAGTCAGATCACACTTCAGGCCATAGGAATCCCTCGTGACATGGATGTCCTGGTTCCTCTGTAACCACTGAAGTCTTGAAAGGCTTGTTTTCTGATGCCAAAGGTCTACACCATCTTCCTGTGCCCACATTCTTTGATCCCAAGAAGCCCTGAGATGTGTTCTGTTGCCTTAACAGCCCTGCAATGGCTGTGGGAGGTGGTCTGTCCTCGGGAGGCAAGGAGCCCTCTGTTTGCTAATGCCTGACATTATTCCCTTTGCTAGGCTGCACGTAGGGGGTGAACTGCTGGAAACTTTGCCAGAAAGTCCCAGTAAACACTCATCAGCTGAATCCACAAGTGACTTCTCTCCCAGCGCACAGAGATGATGGTGAGACCGTGCAGAAAGGGCAGGCTGTTGGGAGCGGGGTGGTGGGGAGGCATCTGGGAGGCTCAGTCGGTTAAGCATCCAACTCTTGATTTCGGCTCAGGTCATGATCTCAGTCTGTGGGTTCAAGCCCCACAAGAAACGGCAGGGGACACCCCACTTCTGCTGTGAGTTCCAATTCTGTCTCTGGGCCAGTACTCCGCTTCATCAGTTCACACATTTATCAAGTATTAGCCCAGGCTCTGTGGATACAGGGGGACTATGGGGACATGGCCCTTCAACCTCATGGATTGTGTAGACCAGCGGGTGCCACACAACTGCAATCAGACAACGACAGGAGAATGTGTTCAGTGTTAAGTGGAGACTCAGACAACGGGAGAAGAGAATGGGGAGGCTGTCTGGGAGGGCTCCCAGGTTTGGGGCTGGAAGATCGGATGGATGGTGGTATCATTCCCGATAGGGAATCCGGGGTAAGATATAGTGTGGGGGTGGGAGAAGGTGGGCAGGCATATGGAGGTGTCCAGTACAGAGCAGGACATATGAGGCCTGAGGCCGAGAAGACAGATTTAGGGAGATTTGGGAGGTCTGAGGTGGACAATATTCTTAGAGTTGAGGGAGCCTGTTGTACAACGTAGGCTTTATTACTGTTCAGGAATGGTGGGGCTGACAGGTCAGCAGACACCTGCCATTGAAAAGCTAGTTACGTACGTACGTACCCAAGAGGAGGGGGTGCGAGGCCACATGCAGATGCACCGGTGTGTGTGTGTGTGGGGGGGGGGGGTCAGGGGTCAGAGGGAACAAGGGGAAAAGAAGCAGGAGCCTTTGCTGTGCTTCCCAGAGGCACAGTAAGGAGATTTGGGACAGGCCAGCTTGAATCACCATGCATCTGATTGTGGCCCTGCAGGGTGATGCCAGGGCCCAGGGCGGCCAGAAGCCAGATGCTAGCAGGCTGAGGAGGTGGGGTCAGCAGGTGTCCAAGCATGCCTCAAGAGACTGGTCTCTAAGGATGAATTGGAAGACAGGGTAGGGAATGAGGGATGGGATTTTTGTTTAAACACTTATCACTCTTTTTGTTGTTGTTGTTGTTATTTGTTTTTGAGAGAGAGAGAGAGAGAGAGACAGAGAGACAGAGAGACAGAGAGAAAGAGCAGAGGAGGGGCAGAGAGAGAGGGAGAGAGAGTCCCAAGCAGGTTCTGCACTGAGAGCAGGTGAGCCCGATGCGGGGCTCAAATTCACACACCGTGAGATCATGACCTGAGCTGAAATCAAGAGTCAGACGCTCAACTGAGCCACCCAGGTGCCTTGGGATTTTTTTTTTTTTTTTTTGGGTGATCATAGAGAAATTGTTATGGTTTCAGTCTCGAAAGGGAAGGAGTCAGAGAAGAGGCTGAAGGTGAGGACACACAGAAGGAAGAAGACAGTGGAGAAAGTCTCTGGTGACCATTTTAAAACAAAACCTTTTTTCAGGAGGAAAGAAGGATGGGGGTTGGAGGCACAGGTACAGATGGTTTCCAGGTTCGCGGGAACAGCTCTTGACTAAGGTCGGCCAGTGCAGTCACACGACATTAAAGATGCCAGAATCTTCAGCATCCAGTCAAAATCAGGTGGTAGCTTCTTATTAGTATCATAACACATGAAGAATATTCTACAAATATGCTATTTCATAGTTTAGGAAGCAGGTCCACACTCCCATGGGGCCTGCCAGCCAAAGCAACCCTCCGAGGCACCTGGAGCTGGGCAGGCAACACTCTCACTGCCTGGGAAGGCCATGGCCATCGGCAGTCACACAGCTGATGGGGCCCACAGAGTCCCACCTGGAAAGGCCACATTTCTTACACACCGGGCTGCCTCTGCAGCATATTTGTTGGCTCAGTTATAACTAAACTGGGAAGCGATGGCTGCCCCAGCGATCATCATCATGGAGTGGAGTATGGAGGGTCATGTCGTCAGCAGTAGCATCCTTCATTCCGTCCTTGAGGAATTTGTTATGGGATGGTTTGCATCCAGCCACAATTCATGGTGAGGTCCCAACCTCCAAATGGGACTGCATTTGGAGACAGAGTCTTTATTTTTATTAAAAAAAAAAAAATTTTTTTTAACGTTTATTTATTTTTGAGACAGAGAGAGACAGAGCATGAATGCAGGAGGATCAGAGAGAGAGAGAGGGAGACACAGAATCTGAAACAGGCTCCAGGCTCTGCACTGTCAGCACAGAGCCCGACACGGGGCTCGAACTCACAGATGTGAGATCATGACCTGGGCTGAAGTCGGACGCCTAACCGACTGAGCCACCCAGGCGCCCCTATTTTTTTAATGTTTACTTATTTTTGAGAAAGAGAGACAGTGGGGGAGGGGCAGAAAGAGAGGGAGAGAGAGAGAGAATCCCAAGCAGGCTCCAGTGCAGAGCCTAACGTGGGGCTTGATCCCACCAACTGTCAGATCACGACCTGAGGCGAAACCAAGAGTCAGACGTTTAACTGACTGAGCCACCCAGGCGCCTCTGAGACAGTCTTTAAAATGAGGTCATTAGAGTAGGCCCTGATCCAACAGACTGGTGTCCTTATAAGATGAAATTGGGACACAGGAACACACAGAAGCAAGACCACTCAAAGACACAGAAGGTGGCCGTCTGCAAGCCAAGGAGAGAGGCCTCAGAAGAAACCAACCTAGCTCTCACCTCTTGGTCTCAGACTCCCAGTCTCCAAACTGTGA